ATTTCTACTATAAAATATTGATTTAAGATAGAATTTGATATAAGATCAATTGCTTGGATTGATTCGTCGTTGAAAGTTGAAAGGAACCTGCAATTTACAATACAAAATAATAAATTTACAAATAATCAATGCGATGCGATATAAGCGAACATCATCCATTCTGGTTAGAGATTCTCACTATGTGAATGAAACGATGGGAATTACGGTAATGATGTCAATGGCATCGTGCTGATAATATCCTGGTTGCTACTAATAAGCGACTTCCTCAAGCCGTGCTTCTCTCTGTTTCCATGCAAATTACGCGGCCGTAAATAAACGCACGACGCATAGAGTCGGAGAACTTAAATACACTCTGTATTAGTCTAGCGATTCGCGCGGCTAGAATCCATACGTCGTTTTCACTTTACAATCATGAACAACGTCTATACCGATTATCTCGATGTGTCCGTCGATTAATATGACATTCACTACATACTCTGAATTATACGAGACTAATGATAGACATTTTTTCGATCAAAAAGTCAGATAACAAAAATAAAAGGCAAATAAGCGTAAATGGAAAAATTATTATCAATAAGAATAAAATAATTGAGTTAAGCATTGGTTTGCTCTTCAGAAGTGTGTGTGTATATATATATATATTAAAAAATATATTATATATATTAAAAAATAAATAAATTTAAAGACATTAAAGCAACAACAAATATAAAAATTGGAATTTAAACGGAATTGAAAGGGGTAAAAATATAAATTCAAATATCTAACATATTATTTTGCATTTTCCTGCAAATTCGTTGCAGAACCTTTTGTCAAATTCGATGTACATTGTGAGCGTTCTCTGTGAACTGCATTTTACCGGAATCTTGCTCATCACGCGCACAGATATCGATGTGGCGATGTACTTTCTGCCGTGGCAAGCTGGATGTCCGGAATGCGAGCGGAACCCGTTTCTATGAGTCAAGCCTGACTATTGACAACGGAGAGAGACAGAGAGAGAGAGAGAGAGAGAGAGAGAGAGAGAGAGAGAGAGAGAGAGAGAGAGAGAGAGAGAGAGAGCGAAAGAAAGAGACAGAGATGCCCGCGGCTCACGATAGCTGATCTTGCGGTTCTGGATCGTAGCACGCGATCCAGTGTATCGTGCGGTTGGTAAAGGATAAGAGAGAGAGGAGAGGAATTTGCGGGATCGAATCATGTTACGCCACAAAGATTGCTTTCGATAAAGACTCAGAGTATGATGATGACCCGTGATGATGAGAGATGCACGTAGGACCACATTTAACGTATAATTGGTTCATGAACGACGAATAACTGATTTTATACATATGAACAGAAATGTATTTTTACAACTAGTATAGCACGGGCTTGATCTTTTATATTCTGTGTCTGCAGAGCGCGGAAGAAAATGATTAGTTGTCACAAATTTGAGTTAGAACAAAGCGAAGAAAACTTCCAAGTAGATTTGAAGATAACGCAGCAATAAAAGCAACGGAAAATTCAATGAAAAATAATTTTGCATCTTAATTTTGTTACTTTGTGGAAATTTTATTAAAAATAAAAAGTGAATATGAGAAATTTACATTGCTTGCTTTTAATTATGATGATGTATCCTGGACTTTATTTATTGATATGACATTCTTTAGCAACGACCTGAATCTGTGTATGCCTAATGCTCGAATTTTTTCTCTAGGAAGAATTTTTGAAATCTCGTAAAATAAGGCAGAATAAATACGTAACTTCGAAACAGTTTTCGTAATGTACATAAATTTCTCGATTGGAAATTAACGTTGATTTTTTGACAAGTGGCCGAAATATACAACGTTGATCTAGCATCGCGAAAAGTTGCGGGAAGCAAGCAAATCGATCGTGTTTCCTTGACATTCGCGTTTCGGAAAACAATTGTTCCGTTCTCCAGGTATTTCGGAGTTGTTTGCATGACATAAGAAATATTAAAACATTTTTTATGCGAACAGGATGGAAATGAAACCCACACCATAAACATGGTTTTGCGACATGTAGGCATTGTAGGTGCCAAGTTACAATCGAGTTCATCGATCCGGAATGACAGTCTCTTCATAGCTCTCAGCAATAACATATTCAATAAAGTATACATACCGGCCATTTAAATCGTTGCGTCGCATGAAATGAACATGACAATGAAGTTTATTTTTTCAGATTAATATTTATTTAATTTAATACGTATTAATACATGAAGAAAAAGTTACAATCATTACTTTAATGAAATGTGATGATTGAAATTAAAATTTTAATAATATAAAAGTGAAAGAGTCTTAATTGAATCGTCAGTTTGAAAATATTTACTGAAATTATCATCAAAATTATTTATTATATTTAAACTTTGATGTACATTAATTTAAGAATTATTTCCGCATGATGATATTCTAATTAATAGAAATATCTCACAAAATACACAGGAGAATTTCTAATTGTAATTACATTCTAGATGACTCTATGCCGTTAGGTAAGCACAGAGACGAGTTCGCGTGACCCGCTCGTGCCGAGTGAGAGGAAATGTATGAACAACGTGCTTCTCTCTCTCTCTCTCTCTCTCTCTCTCTCTCTCTCTCTCTCTCTCTCTCTTTGAGAGAGGTACGTGAGAGCTGTGTACGTGGTCGTAGAAAGTGATAATAACACGAGTACAGGATAAATGAAATATCGATTGTCTCACGTGAAGAATTGATATCGCTAGATCAATCAGTTTTCTCTCCCAATTTGTTTATCTTATGCGATTATAATTTGTCTTTGGATTCTTCACGATCAGATATTACGCCTCTCAACCACATGCCACTTCGCGATGCGACTTTTCCGCAAGTACAGCCGTGTGTTCACTAAAGGTCATCGTCTGCCCGCTAAGTGTTACGCGTACCACTACGATCTTTCTAATTACGCTGCTGCGTCCTCGCCATGGAGTTCCCAATCTTCGATATATGCCGTGATATTGCACTGAGTACATTTTGCTTGAGATCTGTATGAAACATTCAAAATTTTACATATTATTTTTTTTCAATAATAAAGAATTCGCAGATTACACTGCAAATCCGAGCGTGTATAAAGTGACTTCAATACATGTGTTATTTAGTTTTCTGTATAAAAATGATGCTATATTATGTGTTTCAATATATAAATCTGTATTTCTATGCAATATAATATTTAGACAACTAATTGTGAAATAGTCGATGAAGAAATATCATCAATGTAATAGCGTACTATCCAACTAACAATTAATTTTGTGATGATATACGAAGATATACTAGGTGTCTCTGAAATAATCATACAGAGCTATTCCTAACAAAAAATTGAGAAAAATCCTATACTATTTTGCAATTTTCATAATAATTAATGAGATATTAATTTCGAAAGATTGCCGAATAAATGAATAAAATTGATGTATAAGACAATTTTAAGATATCTTTCCGTGTTCTTTATGAAAAATATTTTGAAGATGTTTCTTAAAGAATTTTTAAGATATCTTAAAGTTGTGTAAATACGTTGATTTTAGACATTTTGCTCATTAGATAACTAAAAAAAGATATTACGAAAATTGCAAAATGGTAGAGGACTTTTCGACTCAATTTTTGTTATTAGGAATAGCACTGTATGATTAGTGGGCGTTATTTCAGATACACCTTATATATATATATATATGCAAAGAAAAGTGCTCTAAATCCAGAAAATTACATCTTGAAAAGATATACTCACGGTTTGCTCGAAATCATAAACAAGTTGGAATTACAAAACAAACGTTAAATGTCGAGGAGCTTTTACGCTTTGATTGAGAAACGTTTGCAAAAACCACGACTATAATTTCGATTCCTTTTCACGTTACATTCTGTGTTAGTCGCGCTTTAAAGCGCTCCGTCACGATGCAACTGGCATGCAGTCCGTTAAAACGAAGCTATTCTCTTCTCGTTTGTATTTGAGAGATGTGTCACCTACTTTACTTCTTGTTGTAATATATAACAATCCGTTTACAATTTCCATTCAATTGATGCTTTTAAGCTAATAATATGAGTAGTCATGTACTTATATATACTTTCTTATCAGCTGTGTGAAATTTTTTTTAATTCCATCTTGTTTGAAAAAGAATTCACCGCGTATGATCTATCGCGTATATTTTGGCTTACGCGAAGCTCACAGACACCGAGGAAGGAAGAGAGAGACATTCGTTTTCTTCGTTGTTGGTCAAGGTATAGATTATACCCCGTATCTATCCTTCTTTTTACGGTCCGACTATTCCGACCGACAGCGGAGAGTGAACAGTCCATTAATTATTTTCTCCGACCTGTTGCAGAGGCACCGCCGGCACTATCTCGGAAGCCATGCCGGTTGACGAGTTCGTGCGTATCCAACGAGAAGACGGTGATAGAAAACCGAGCTTGCAGCCGCCTTAACGCACTGATCGACTGATTGCGTCGTCGTTGATAAAGAAAGAGAAAGAGAAAGACGAAGGCCTTTCGCAGATCGACTGATCATGTCCTTAGCGAACTCGCTCCACTGCCCGTTGTCGTCGTATAGTTCCACGCTGTGAACCCGATATGTGAGAGTCGCCGCCGCCGTCTGGTGGATGCCATCGCCATGGTGGAGCAACTGGTGTGCAGCAATTCGCTGAGTCCGGGAACGTAACGTTCAAATGAGCTTCAAGTTCATGCATATTCCTTCTATCTTTAAGGAACTAATCGGGACGAACGAAAAGTAGCTCCGGAAAACTAACAAAAAACCTGCCTTTACGTATTTAGAATAAAGAAGGCCTGAATTTAAAAGAGCGATTTATTTTACTACGAGTTTCAAGAAAGCAAAAATGAAATTAGAAGTTGAAATTGATGAATTGCACATTAATTCACAGTAGACTTAGTGTAGCTTCGAAGTTTAGAAATTTTATCATTTATACGAAACATTCGCGTAGTGTGAAAAAGAGAAGTGATATTGTTCATCACGGAGAATCTAAAGAAGAGAATTGAATTCAACGTGTTATGTGTTTATGTGATTTGGAAACTCTTTTGATAGACAATTAGTTTCATCGTGAGATATTCAACGTGATGAAGAAAAAAGTGACATCCTGTAATATGACGAATTTAATATGAAGAAGATCAAAGTTAACATCTATGTGCTATGAGACGGTGGATTTAGTGCAATTCAGTATTCTGTTCCGAGATCGCCATGTAAGGATTATCACATCAGGAGAAAAGAGAAGAAGCCTCACTCCGCGTGACACCAGTGTGTCGAGTAATGCTGAAACACATCCTGACGGGGCAGCCGTCGTCAACGGGCTCCAGGCATCATCACAATGATTATCAGACGAGCTCGGGCTCGTTGCACGGCGGACACCATCATCACCACTTACACAACAGCTCGCTGCACCAGGATCAGCAACAGCAGCAACAGCCGCAGTCGCAGCAACAACCGCAGCAGCAACAGCATCTTCATCATCATCACTACACCGGAAGCACCGGGACACGCAGTGGTGTCATCGGGCATCGCGGTAACAATAGCGGAGTCGACGTGTACGATTCCGTGGCGAGACCAACGGCGACAACGGTGTCGAACGCGCATCAATCGGCGACGACTCCTTCATCGACACATCGGCATCCGTTGAACCATTCTCAGCTGAGCGTGAACAATTTGTCACAACGCCTGAACCATTCGCATGCGCTTAACGTATCAACTCTGTCAACCTCTAAGCATTCGGTTAACAGCGTTAGTCCGGTCGGTGGCGTCCATGGCAATAATGGTGGCGGTAACAACAATAATAACCATAACGTCTCAGCAAGTCAGTTGGGCCACACCGTAATCTCGCAAACGAATGTCTCACATCAGGAGAGGCCAAAGGCGAACGGCGGCTTCGATATCTCCAGGCTATCGCGATTACCGAGTCAGACTACACCGTCACCCGCGCCTGCCACATCTGCACTTCCTGTCGTAGCCAGCCAAGTAGCTGGTGGACCGACAGTGATACCTCTCAATGCCTCCTGGTCTTCGTCCCTATCCAGGAATCTCCATCGGAGTGATGCGGCTGGCGTGAAGGAGATGCTAACGAGCCTCGGACTGCTCTGTCTGGTATCCCTACTTTTAGCTCTCCTCTCGGTTATCTTCCTACTGAAGATCTCGCCGCTCACTGTCACGTCCAACAGCCTTATCAGCCCGGAGGAATTTGTGATCGTCTACGAGGTCACCCTGGCGTTATGCGCCCTCGCCCTGTCCCTCAATCTCTGTTGCCTGCTGGTCTGCGCCATACAGTTCCTTTTCGCGGTGAAGCTTGTCAAGACCTCGTATCAGGGTCACCGGTAAGTTGATCAAAATCATTCTTTTTTTTCGATATTCGTATCTCGAAATAATTAAAATTAGGATTATCGCTCTCTTTTTCTATTACTCTGTTATTATTTTGATCTGATATCTCGATATTCAAATTGATGTAATAAAAAGGCTTTAATAAGGCTTCTGAAAGAAAGAATTCTGGCTGTTAACGGGTTTATCGCGAGATCAATGAATTTGATGACTAATGAACGACATGAAAAGGACCGATACGAGACCAATGCGCCAGCCTTGACACGTTGGAATTCAGTTTAATTATTTTTAAGCTCTAATGGGAACCGCGTGACTCCATACGAGCAAGCCGAGATTCTTAATTAATTAACGTAGTAAGAGAAGGCGATATTCTCTGCGCGTTTAACGGCGACCGACTGATTCGGAACGATCGGCGCGCAATAATCCCATCTCTGTCGTGACCTCTGGGCCCAGTACGACGTTACGAAACCGTTTAAAGATCGACTCGCACTTGTGCTATATAATTTGATGTTTGCAAATTGCAAGATCAAGGTCTTTCTACCTATATTTTGTGTTAACAGTTTACTAATATTATCATTTATTATGTGATATTACACAATAATAATATATAATTGATTAATAGAAATTTTCAAATTTGACGATTTAATTAATCCTTGTATAATAATTGATCTAGAAAAAACTGATCTTGAGAACAAAAATTAAAGATTATTATAAATATGTCGTGCTTTTTTTTAAATTAAAGATTGATGTCTGTATAGATAAATACGATGCGGATTTACTGTTAGTTTTAGAATATGATGATCGCTACGATTGGTGTGTTTCGGCCTTAATACGTGTTATGTCTGTTAAGGTTTTTATCGGTATTACGTGCCGGCATCGAAACGTCGAGGAAAATTTCGGTCCTTTATACGCTGGTAAAAGGGTACGCATCCTACTCTTTCGTAATCCTACTTAAAACGCTTAATAAACGGTTAATGGTCTTGACTCGGCACATTGCAAATAGCGCCGATATCTTAGCTAATAACCGCAATTTGCGAAAAAAGAAAGACGAGGAAAAAGTCTTTTTATCGAAGAGTATTGCTGCTGTTGCTGTTACTTGAATATTATTTTTGATATCCGTGTAAAATTATGCAAACCGCGCAATTTCATACGAATGCGATCGTGCGTTTTATTTTCCTTTCTTTTTTTTTTATATTGTGATTGTTAAAATTTTTATCGGTAATTTTATTTGAATTTGAGAGATTAGGACTACAAATATTTAAAAATAAAATAGAAAGCTGACTACTAAATTAGAATTTAATAAGTTAGAATTTATTTAGCTACTTCTGATTTGAAGATTCAAATACTTGAATCGAACAGAAATCTGCAAAGATTTCTTGGCGTTCTTTGTACTTTATATTGTTAAATCGAAAGTAGCTAAATCAGTTCTAATTAATTTAATAATCAGCTTTCTATTTTATTTAGTGTTTTAAGTATTAATTAAACAAGAAAATAAACGAGATCAGATGTGCAAAAAATTTGATCCTGTAACATCTTGCGAATTTTGCACGAATACATGTAATAATGACTGGTAATTATACAGGAAGCGATAGGACTTAGATATAATAGGATCTATAATACAAGGATACCACATCGAGTTCCTTATTCAAAGAGAATTCTTCCCGCGGGATCAAGGGAAGCGATTTACGCAAATCGAGCCCGTTCGCGAGTGTTTTCAAGTTCCTTCTCATACGATCTCACGTCACCGACATTCACGATCAAGATCGTCCTTACGCGTTGGGATGGAATGGGTTCCCACTCATCCATGCATATCCCATCCATGTACGCATTCGAATATACTCGTACACAGGTGGATCTCGTATCCAACGCACAGAGATCGGCGGCGCTCTCGACAAGATATATCAGTGCCTTAACCAATTCGTGCGAGCGTTTCTTCTCACGGAGAGAGGCGCAAAAATTCACCTTCATGTTCGCGTGTGTGTGCGTGTAGTACGCTCGCACGAAATTGCACGCGAGAATCAGAGCGAAACGCAAACGCAGTAGATCGTAATGTCGCATCACCACCCCGAAATTATCCTCGTTAAAGAAACGTGTTGATGCGATCTCTCCTGAAGCATGACTTCTTTTCATGGGTACATCGGACATGAACACCTATGTTGATTGCTGTCACACTTACTTCGTAGACGAGGATGTAAAAATATGATATAAGATAGGAATATCTCACAGAAGAGATGCACGTTTTTTTTGTAAAGAACATTACATTAATATTTTTTTGCCGAAAATTAATACTGAACATTTAAAAGTGTGGTTTATCTCATTAATGCTTGTGGTACATTTTTATGTTACTTGGTGTATTTACTTGATATTCATGTTGTGTGTACATCTTATCGCGGTATTTGAAAGAAAATATTCATTTTAGAAATTATTTCACATTTCTATCTTACTCTGATGATCTTTCGATTTGTTTGATTTTTTTTTTTTTTTTTTTGATCTGTTAATTGGCAAAAACGTTTGCATGGGATGAACTATCAAAAATATTGTAATGAACGCGTACGCAGTAATGGAATGCGTAAGAGTTCATTTCGCCGCAGTGGAAAAGGACGAGGAAATCCCGAGTTGGTAAAGTCGTAGAGCAGGTAGATGGCCGTTAATGATCGCCTTGAGAATGAATAAAACAAAAAGAGTGCAGGAATACGCACAGGATAACTTCCTCTTATTTCTCTTATTTCTACCTATAGTATTGCGCTTTTCATTGTTAGAAATGTCCAAATAGACTGGTACGAAACGTTTAAGCGCTCTTGACTTGTCCTTTACTTGTACAAATATGGATATAAAGATTATTTTAGGCATTTTCTTTTTAAATTTATTATAATTACAACTGTGTGTAACAATATTGCTATATAAATGCATTTACATAATGCATCTTTGCACGATGCAGAAGACTAGATATTTCCTTGTCTAATTGTCTCAAATATTTTATTTAAATATTTTATTTAATTTTTATTTAAATGGCGGATACTCTCTTCTTCTTTTACCATCGGTGATCTTGTCTATTCCACTTTCCAATTTCTTACAAAGTTTTTATTTCTGAAATAAATCTAAAGTATAGGGAAAGATTGTATGTTACAAAGGCCTTATAAAATCTAAGAATTTCAAAGGAAATCTCAGTTAAGACGGAAATTCTTCGGATAACTGTGACCGAACGGTTGAAATCTTCTCCGAAAATATTTACGCATTAACAGAAACATAAATAGTTTGTTCCGGGAAGACAAAACCTGTTTCAATTGAGTTTCTTCATCAACAAAATCTTTATTAACTTTTGAGATTATAATTTCTTTATTAACTTTCTAATCTAAGAAAATTTTTTTGATTTATTTTTTCCAATATAGGAATACGTATGTCTAATGTAAATAATTATAAACATTTTTTAGATATATATATACGTATTTTTTTTTAATATTTATAAAATATAAATATATTAAATATTAATAAATTATTAATAAATATTAATAAATAATTAAAGTTAAAAGTATTTAAATTTTAAGATACTCAAGATGAAGAATATCTAATGGCAAAAAAGTATGAGAATCCAGAG